GTATGGATTAATTCATTCATTTCTACCAAAATGATTCCTCATATTTGTAGTTTAGGTATTTGGATTCAATTATTTGTCTCACTAAGTAACCATATTGTAAAATGAATTTGAGACAAATGAAACTGCGTATAAATTGACAATAAATTTGACAGTATTAACAAAATACTTAGCGTATCGTTTAGAAATTACCATAGTTTATATTATGAATCGAGATTCCACCTAAAATATATTTGACATCAATTAGCATACTTTTATTCCGTCACAGAAAATTAAATAATTTTTGCATACATTTTACTGATATGAAGTCTAACAAGACAATGATCATAACTCAATAACAGAGGCACATCAGGAAAGCAGTCGGTAGTTAAAAGCTAGATTTATTAACATCACTAATACCATTTATTGGAATAAAATGCAGCAACATTGATTAAATCACGTTATTCTAGGAATATTGAAAGCTAAGCTAATCACTTTATTCATTTGCTTTAAGTTGAACTATGATCTCAGATTGTGCTTATCATACAAATAATATGTCCCAGTAAAATTCTGCATCATTTTTGGTTCAGCGATCTAGTATTAAATATTATATACCAGGGAGCTGATTAACTCTAACAAACTAGTAGATAAAATATTCAACAGAAGGAACTACAAACAAAATTCGACAGTTCTGCTATTCCGTCGATTCTCAATATAACAAGTTAAACAAAACTTTTATTTTAAAAATGATACCTATATATTTAAGGATACTAATATAAAAAGTATATACATCCTATTATGGTGTTTTTTTAATCATATAAATAAGAGACTTAATTGTTTTAAGCACTCATTTTTGATGCCCAATGCAATAATTTGTTAGCGCCACAATTTTAGCCCTAGTCTCCTTACCTTCTCCCTAGATTGTTCGCTTAATATGTCCGAAAGTATCAAGGTCGTATGTAGAATCAGGCCTTTGAATGAATCCGAATTGGCCAAAGATAGCAAATTTGTGTTGTCCTTCCCTGGAGATGGAAAGACTTCTGTCGCACTTGGGGTACGCACCTCATTCCACACTATCTTTATTTTCAAACGTTTTCTAACCTGGCATAATTTTAGGGCAAGACCTATAACTTTGATCACGCCGTCAATCCTAAATCGTCACAAAATGAGGTATACGAAATCGTTGCAAAACCCATTGTTGCTGATGTCCTAAATGGCTATAACGGCACTATATTTGCATATGGTCAGACCTCCAGTGGTAAAACTTTTACAATGGAGGTAAATTATCGTTGTATCGTGGACTTTAGGGTGTGCTTGGAGATCCAGTCTTTCAAGGAATTATTCCTCGAATAATTCATGATATCTTCAACCATATCTATCAAATGGACGAAAATCTGGAGTTTCACATCAAGGTTAGTCCTTTTATTTTATTCAAATTAGGTCTCCTATTTCGAAATCTATCTGGACAAAATTCGGGATCTTCTTGATGGTTTGTCCTCTATTATTAATTTTTTCTAGTTTCAAAAACTAA